TTATTCGGTCATGCCTAACGCCGGATCTCATTTATGATGTGATGAACGAGACATCGGCAAAGAGATTGTGGGAAACGCTCAATGAAAAATATTTGACAAAGAGCATTGAGAACCGGCTTCACTTGAAGAAGAGGTTCTACCAATTCAAGATGAAGAGAGGGGTTTCCATTCGGGAGCATGTCAATAACTTTACAAAGCTTATTTCGGATATGGCCAATGTTGATATCATGGTGGAGGATGAAGACAAGGCGATGTTACTATTGTGTTCGAGTTTAGTACTTTTGTTCTCACTATGATAAATGGGCGAACTACAGTTAGCTACAAGGAGGTAACCTCGGCATTGGTGAACTATGAGCTGAGGAAGAATGATGGTGAGCCCTCTGAGAAGGCATCGGGTGATGCATTAGCAGTTCGTGGCCGTAGTCCAAACCGCCAAAAGTTCAACCGCTCAAAATCAAAGAATAGGGGTGGCCATAAAAGTGTTGGTAGAAATCAATGTGCCTTTTGCAAAGAAGAGGGACATTGGAAGAATGAGTGCTCAAAGTTGAAAGATAGAGCCGGAAAGCAATGGGGGAAAGCTGTACAAGCTTCAGAGGTGAATGTTGCTAAGGTTGTTGGCGACATTTCAGATTCAGATTCTTTTGGTTATTCTTGTCCCGCACTGCCGTCAGTTTGTTATGCCGACTCTACGGAGTGGATGCTTGATTCGGGAGCTACATTTCATATTTGCCCTAAGAGGGATTTGTTTACCAACTTTGAGGAGTTGAAGAGAGGAGACGTGGTGCTCATGGGGAACGATCACGTTTGTCTTATTAGCGGGATTGGCTCAGTCAGAATCAGAATGCATGACGGGGTGACTAGGGAATTGAAAGATGTGAGGTTCATGCCGCAGTTGACGAAGAACCTCATTTCTCTTGGGACTTTGGAGGCATCCGGTTATAGAGTGATCTTAGAAGATGCTAGTTTGAACGTCATGAAGGGTTCTATGGTGGTGATGCGAGGTGTCAGGGAAAACAACCTATACTACTTGAAGGGCAAGACAGTTACAGGGGGTCTGGCAGCTTCTATTACCATAGAGGAGGACACTACCACACTATGGCACATGAGGCTTGGACACACAGGTGAAAAGTCCCTTCAGTCATTAGCAAAATAGGGGCTATTGAAAGGTGCAAAGACCTGCAAGATGGATTTGTGTGAGCATTTCATACTTGGGAAGAAGACTAAAGTGAAGTTTGGCACCGCAATTCACAACACCCAAGGTATATTAGACTACATTCACACAGATGTTTGGGGCCCTTCTAAGAACACATCGCTTGGTGGGGCAAATTATTTCATCATTTTCATTGATGATTATTCCAGGAGGAATTGGGTATATACCATGAAGCATAAACATGAGGTCCTGGATATATTTGTGGAGTGGAAGAAGAAAGTGGAATTGCAAACAGGTAGAAAGGTGAAGACTCTTCGTTCAGACAATGGTGGAGAGTACAAGAGTGATCCATTTCTGCAGTTTTGCCGGGATCACGGCATTAGAAGACATTTCACAGTTAGAAAGACACCACAACAGAATGGGGTGGCAGAGAGGCTGAACCGTACCTTGCTGGAGAAGGTGCGATGTATGATGACGCAGAGTGGATTGGCTAGATCTTTTTAGGCCGAGGCGTTAGTTTATGCGAGCCATCTCATTAACAGGTTGTCGTGCACTGCGATAGAGGGGAAGACTCCTTTGGAGCGTTGGTCTGGTTCTGTGGCTAGTGATTATGAGACTCTTCGGATTTTTGGGTGTCCAGCTTATTTCCATGTTAGTGATGGGAAGTTGAATCCAAGAGTGAGGAGGGCTATCTTTGTGGGATTTAGAGAAGGTGTAAAAGGCTTCAAATTATGGGATCCACAAGACAAGAAGATGATCATTAGCAGAGATGTAACATTCGATGAGGCGTACATGATGAAGCCTCAAGTTCCTCAGCAGGTGGAGGAAGATCAGACAGGAGGGATATCGCAGCAGGTGGAGGATGATGTGACTCCACCCACTCCAGTTGGCACTGTTCCCATAGAGACTCCTACAGAGGTGACACGGGAAGGAGTTGGTGAGGCTCAGGAGTAGGGTCATGCTCAGGGGTCCATTGCAGCAGATAGACCGAGGAGAGAGATTCGTCGGCCAGCTAGATATAATGATGTCATGGTGGCATATGCTTTATCGGTGGAGGTCGTTGATGATTTGACTCCTTCCACATTCAGGGAGGCAGAGTCCAGCCCTGATTCTATTAGGTGGAGGAATGCTATGGAGGAGGAGATGCAATCTCTTCAGAAGAACGATACTTGGGAACTTGCACAGCTACCTAAAGGTAAGAAAGCTATTGGTTGCAAGTGGGTGTATACTAAGAAGGAGGGATCTTCTATTGGGGACATTAGGTTCAAGGTCAGATTGGTTGCCAAGGGATATGCACAGCTTGAGGGCGTTGATTACAACGAGGCGTTTTCACCCGTTGTGAAGCATTCGTCGATTCGGATACTATTGGCATTGGTGGCACAGCTGGACTTAGATTTGGTCCAAATGGACGTGAAGACGACCTTTCTACATGGAGACTTAGATGAGGAAATCTACATGATACAACCTATGGGGTTTAAAGCTGCAGGAAGAGAAGACTTGGTGTGCAAATTGAAGAAATCTCTTTACGGACTGAAGCAATCACCGCGACAGTGATACAAGAGATTTGATAGCTTTATGATTGGCCGAGGGTACACGAGGAGCCCTTATGACCTGTGTGTTTATATGCGCAAGCTACAGGATGGTGAGCACATTTATTTGTTATTGTATGTTGATGATATGCTCAAAGCTTCCAGGAACACTTCAGCTATTGGAAAATTGAAAAAGGAGCTGTCATCTGAATTTGAGATGAAGGACCTGGGAGAGGCTAAGAAGATATTGGGTATGGAGATTGAGCGAGACAGGGTGAAGGGGAGATTGAAGCTTACACAGAGGAGTTATTTGCAGAAGATGCTGAAGAAATTCAGTTTTGAGGGTAATACCAAGGTGGTGAGTACTCCATTAGCTCTCCACTTTAAGCTTTCAGCTTTGATGTCACCAGTTTCAGTGGAGGATAGGGACTACATGTCCAAGGTTCCATACGCCAGCGCAGTGGGTAGCTTGATGTATGCTATGGTGTGTACTAGGCCAGATTTGTCACAGGCCGTGAGCATGGTATCTAGGTACATGCATAACCCCGGGAAGGGGCATTGGGAGGCCGTGAAGTGGATTCTACGGTATATCAAGGGTACTGTGGATGTTGGGTTGATATTTGCGAAGAATGATGAGACAGGGCAAGATTGTATTAGTTACGTGGATTCAGACTATGCCGGAGATCTTGACAGGCGTCGGTCCACTACAGGTTATGTGTTTACATTAGCTAGTGCACCGGTGTGTTGGCGATGCACTCTTCAGTCTACAGTAGCGCTTTCTACTACGGAGGCGGAATATATGGCGATGACTGAAGCAGTGAAGGAAGCTTTGTGGCTACATGGCTTGTTGGATGATTTGGGGATTGCACAGGAGACCATTCAGATACATTGTGATAGTATGTCAGCTATCTATTTGGCGAAGAACCATGTCTATCATGCACGCACGAAGCACATTGATATCAGATTTCACTTTGTACGTGACGTATTGGATGATGGTGATGTCACGTTGGAGAAGGTCCACACTAAGGACAATCCTGCTGATATGTTGACCAAAGTCGTATCAGGTGTGAAGTTTGGTCATTGTTTGAACTTATTGAAAATTCTTCGTTGTTGAGGCCGTTGACGGTCATTTGGATGAACTACGTTCGGCTTGATTCCTTGGGCAAGAGGATACGTAGGCAGTCTTGCAGATGCAGCCGGTTAAGTTGATTTGGGGTGTTTTTTGGTGTCAGCTCAGTTTTGGCAAAAGTTCGCCGAGGTGGAGATTTGTAGAATCAGCAGCAGAGGACGACAGATTCAGAGTTCAGGCTCAGGTTTCAGACTGAGCGGGTGGCGGTCGACCGGTCCGGTCGACCGCATTCGTGCACAAGGCTTACTGTGCGGCAGAGTTGGTGTCGGTTGACCAGGCCGGTCGACCACAGATGTTTCTGTTTTGTGGTCGGTCGACCGGTGCGGTCGACCGACAAACTCTCTGGACTTTTGGGATTCTGCTGGGAGGAGTTCGGTCGACCGGGCCGGTCGACCGCGGTGGGATGGATCGCGGTCGACCGGGCCGGTCGACCGACGAAGCGGGTTTCAGTTGGGTTCTGTTTCCAGACCCGTTTCGTTTGTGAGTTGTATTTAAACCCTAAACTCGTTTCTAGGGTTAAGTTTTGGGCGATTTTGAGCTGCTGAAAGGGGATTTAGAGGGCTTCTATTGTTGGAGTCTATTGGAGAGATCTATTGGTCTTGTAAGAGGGTTTTGGGTAAGATTTGTAACCCTAATTTGTATTCCCCTTTGATTTGAATAGTAAAGCTTCTCCCTCCTTGCCCCGTGGACGTATGCACATTGCCGAACCACGTATATCTTGTGTTCTTGCTGTGATTGTTTGGCTTGTGTTCATTGTGGTCTACTATTGTTATTGTGTGTGTGCCTTTGATTTGTCTGTTTGGGGCTTCCGCGGCGCACAACAATGTGGTCTACTATTGTTATTGTGTGTGTGCCTTTGATTTGTCTGTTTGGGGCTTCCGCGGCGCACAACAGGAGGTTATGTGCAAAACACGTAAAAGTACTGGAGGTTTTCAATAACTCTAACAGTTATTGGGGGTTAACTGCAAATGCTGAAAGTTCTTGAAGGTTTAGTATAATTTAACCAAAAAATAATTTCCAAAAAAGTTTCTCTAATAGACTAATACAGACAATTTAGATTTGGATCTTTTGGGTATCTAGGCCCGATTGGAAAAATATTGGGGTACGAAAGAAATACGTCCCAACGTTGGGGATGCGGAAGTAAGTTTCCTAAAAGACGACACGAGTGCTGACCAACTCTTTATAAAAGATACTAACGATCCTCTAGAGGTCTCTTTGGGGACTCCGCTACCTTATCAATCCCTTCTTTTTATCTCCTTTGTTTGAGAGAGATTTGGGAATCCGGCACTGATGTCCAGAGAAGTGCATACAATTAAATGCAAAGGTAATGAAACTACTGAATAAAAATTAATTTTGCAATTTTTTTTAGTATCTTCTTGTTTTAATTCTCACTCTTGATGCTTTAATTTAATTAAATTTGTAGCTGCAATATGCTGGGGGCCTGAAGAGCCATTAACGGTTGAGGAGATCGAAGTTGAGCCTCCCCAGTCATCGGAAGTTCGACTTAGACTCCTTTTTGCGAGTTTGTGCCACACAGATGTAATCCGTAGGAGTGGATTTCGCTATGTAAGTATATACAAGTTTCGATATAGGGTTTTCTAGAGAATGGTCCCTTGAATCTTTCGCATTTTGAAGTTAGTCTCACAAATAATTGAAATTGCTATTTAGTCCCAAAAAATCATATATTGGTGCTTGCAATTAAACTACAGATTGATTTGGGAGGAATATCCGTTTTAACTTTTGTTTTCATGGATTTTCAGTCGTGTATCCTCTATTTAAGTTACTTCTAAGCCAAAAAAGTTTATTGAAGCAAAAACGAGGGGGTGGTTCGGGTTCCTGGTTCATGTGGATGTTAAACACAGATACGTACATATGAGTAGGGAACCAGAAAGTATCCAAAGTGAGTATCAAAGGAGCAAGTAATTTATTAAACATAAAGATGAAAGAATTTCTCCCTTTTTATGTATTCATGAGGGTGAAGGGTGTTGGGCTCTGAAGCCTCTTTTTGGGGTCCGAGGAAACACGAAGTCGTCGAGAGAGAAGGTCACACAAACACAAAATTAACAGCACGAACACAAACAATGAATTTTATGTGGTTCGGCAAGTTGCCACGAAGTCATCGAGAGAGAAGGTCACACAAACACAAAATTAACAACACGAACACAAACAATGAATTTTACGTGGTTCGGCAAATTGCCTACGTCCACAGGGCAAGAAGGGGATAAGTTTTCACTAATAGAGAAGAGAGTACAAATAGAGATTATAAAATCACTCAAAATCTCTCAAACAAAGCTCTCAAATTTCTCACACAAACCCCAAACAAATTGCTCAGAAAACTCTCTTTTCTGTGCACCAAATAACCCATTTTCAACCTTACTCAACCCTAAAAAATGTGTTCCAATATATATCAAAACATAAACCCAATCAGAACAGGAAACCAGAATAAGGCCCAAACCCGACTAGCGGTCGATCGCTGAAACCATCGCGGTTGACCGGACAGAACGACGGAAACTAAAAAAATCTATTACAGGGTCTGCGGTTGACCGGACCTAGCCTCGCGGTCGACCGACCAGAGCTCCAGAAAACCACCCTGTAGCGTGCACGTTTCCGGTCGACCGCACATGTTGCCGCGGTCGACCGGGAACTCCAAACTGTTTCCTTCGTTAAATTTTCTGTACTTCAACCCCGTTTTCGCCCTTTCTACAAAGGGAGGACCATAGTCGTCATTCCCCACGTGCATATATATAGAGGGACTAAAGTCAGCCCTTCACTTGTGAAAAAGAAACTCTTAGAGATAATAACATACAAAAATAGTTGTTTCAACATTTAAATCCTGGATCTACGTACCTAGAACTGTTTAAACAAGTATCTTTAAACTTTTTTGAAACTTTGGTGAAGGAGTAATTGACCATGGAAATGTTATTTACCATGTATGGTTGACAACTAATAATCAAAATTAGCAGTTTAAAGGGAAATAGGAGTAATTTGAAACAACTAATAAGGGTCGGGTGACTTAATAGCAATTCAATGATTTGAGCGGCTAATTTCAAAATATTAAAGATTCGACGGACCAATAGCTAAAATCCTTTCCGTATAATTTTATTAGACAACTGCAAAGTTTCCAAGTTTAGGAGTTCACTTATTGTGCCACATTTTTGGCTTGATGCAGCCACTGTATCCACGAATCTTGGGGCATGAAGGAGTTGGGTAAGAAAAGAAATATATGCTCTCGTAAAGTATTAGTGACTTGTTGCCATTTTTAATTATAAAATTCGGAATAAATTCTACACTGCCATTAAGTTTAGAGGGTGTTTACACAAAATTATTATAAACATTTTTTGCAGAGAAAATCATCACAATATCTCTTTAGCAAATTATCATGTTTGATTAACTTGCTTCACAACATGACATGTTTTAGACAATTTTACTCTTATGCACTCTGTATATTATTTATTTATTTTTTGAGAAGTCTGTATATTATATATATTACTTTTTCTCCTTCTATTTGATAGTTCGGATCTTTTGCCTAATCTTTAACTAGTTAACAAAAAATTTCAATAGCTTGTACTCTTTTCCTGTAGCTTTGAAAGTTCACCGTAACGTTCTTTAATAAGAAAGAGGTTGATAGGTATCATATGTCATATGAGAGGATTAATGATATAACTAAATATCAGCCAAGTGCTAGGAGAGGATCCTCTGATATTGCAAGGATTCCATTAAACCATCCCAAGCTGGCTACAGTTTCATGAAATTTACCCATATTAATTTGCGCACACCAAACTCGAAAAAGCAAGAACAGAGACCGGATTTGATTATAGTTTGGTCTGCAATTATTTCCTTCCAGCGTGATTGAGAGTGTCGGCAAAGGCGTTACAGATTTCAAAGAGGGAGATATAGTCATCCCAAGCTTCATAGGAGAATGTGGAGACTGTGAGAACTGCAAATCAGCCAAAACAAATGTGTGCCTTAAATATCCCACCAACTTTAATGGTCTCATGGCAGATAATACCTCCAGAATGTCAGTAAAAGGACAGAAGCTTTACCATCTCTTCTGGTGCTCCACCTTCACAGAGTTCACAGTTGTGGACCACAATTACATTGTTAAGATCAATCCTGAGCTTCAACTTGCGCACGCCAGTCTCCTGTCTTGTGGATTTACCACTGGATTTGGCACGGCGTGGAAAGAGGCGAAGGTGCATAGAGGATCGAGCGTTGCAGTATTCGGTCTTGGAGGCGTTGGAATTGGGGTGCGGCTTTAACTTCATATAGTAAATTTTTTTGTGCGTCGTTTTTTTGTACATCATCTGTACTATCCAGGTGCACCAAACACAAATCAAACCTTGGATATCACCAGATTTGGAGACGTGCATTGATCTAAGGATGGATAATACTTTCATGAACCATTAACGCAACGGGCCGAGTTCACTGAATAACTCCACAAATGACTGTATTTTGCAAGTATTGATTGATAGTTATAGATACTACAATTTTCTGCAGGCTATTATCGGCGCAAAGTTACTTGGAGCAAGCAAGATCATTGGTGTGGACTTGAACAATAGAAAGAAAGAGAAGGCGGAATTTTTCGGAATGACAGATTTCATCAATCCGAAAGAAATAGAGAACAAGACCTGTGTGGAGATGATAAAGGAGATGACTGGAGGCATGGGTGTTGATTATAGCTTTGAATGTTCTGGAGCTGGATCAGTAGTCAATGAAGCTGTTGAAGCAACAGTCATGGTAATTACTGTAACTGAAGTAGCTAAGCTACTAATAGGAAAATTAGTTCAGTAATCCAACTCAAATAAATAGAACTACACTAAATTATTAAAGTTGTATACTTCAGTTAGAATATAAAAATATAACGCTCGGTACTCACCACAACTTCGAAGTTTTGGTATAATGGTTAGAAAGATTTTAACATGGTATCAGAGCAACTCATCTTAAAATTCTATGGGCCACAAATTCAAGGTGGATTTTAAAACAAATGGGCATCGTTACATGAGTTTAAATTTCGGCCCATAAAAAGGGCACTCACCCTGCGGAGACATGTTAGAATACAAAAATGTTACCCTTAATCGTCACAACAACTTCGGAGTTTTAGTCTAATGATTAGAGGGACTTTTAACAACTTCATCGTCCCTTTATTACTCACACTTGTAGAAGTTTTATTCACAGGGAAGAGGAATTACTATTATGCTGGGAGGAGCCGAAAAAAACGCATCAATAAGTTGCTTGGCACTTTTAGGTGGTAGAACACTGAAGGGTACCACCTTTGGTGGAATCAAGCCTCGCTCTGATCTTCCTTCCATCATCACCAAGTGCATAAATAAGGTACGTGAGTAACATCAAAGTAATCAAATATTGCAAAATGTCAAATTTTACTTTTTTCCTGTTCTTGGAGGAGATCCAACTTGATGAGATGTTGACCCACCAAGTCGATTTGGACAACATCAATCACGCATTTGAACTGCTAGAGGATGGTGACTGTCTCAAAATAGCGATCAAGATCAACGACAGGTAGGGAAATTGGCTAAGGGAATCTATAGGACCTCGAAGTTTTAAGTTTCCATGGTGCATTCAGATGATTGTATTCTACGGAAAGGATTGTTCGGTTTGTGGAGAATTATTAGTTTTGACTAGTTGTCACCTGTAAGATGCACGGGATTCAATATTATCTCTGTTGTATGTATGTTAGAACTCTGGGAAGGGTCTTGCTATTTGTCACGCGGGATGGGCACGCAGCCCATCTCGCGTGAGAGAGGTAGGGGTCGCAGCCCATCCCGCGTGACAAATAGCATTTTTGCTCTGGGAAAGAGAAGGGAAAATAAAAAATGCTATTTGTTACGCGAGATGGGCTACGCGTTCATCCCGCGTGACAAATAGCAAAACTCAGGTAAAATTAATTTTTTTTGGAAACAGAGAGGGAGAAAATCAATGATTTACAGAAATTAGAAAATAAAATAAATAAATAAATCAAGATTTTCAAATGCAGAGGGAGTGGTCTTAAATAAGGGGTGGTTCGTTTTGCAGAAAAAATTGGGAAATCAAAGAATAGGAAATCTATTTCCTATAATAATTGTTTTGAGGTTGTTTGGTTGGCTTAAAAAAGAAGAAAACTATAGAATAAGAGATGAGATGAGATGAGTTGTCACCTTATTATTGGATGATGTGAGTGATTTTTTAAAAAAAAACTTGTTTTGAGGTTGTTTGGTTGGTTAAAAAAATAAGGAAATGAATTGGAGGTGTATTGTTGGATGATGTTTTAAGGTTGTTTGTGTTTGGTTCATTTTTAAAAATAAGAAAATAGATGAGATGAGATGAGTTGTAGGTATATTATTGAATGATGTGACATATACTTAAGGAAATCAATTTTTTTTTAGGAAATAGATGGAAATGAAAGTTTAATAAGATGAGATGAGTTGTCACAATATTATTGGATGATATGTGTGATTTTAAAAAATGAGATAAGATGAGATGTGATGAGTTGGATGATGTGACACATTTCTTGTGTTTGATTTATTTTTAAAGGTAAGAAATGAGATGAAATGAGATGAGTTGAAGGATAAAAATATTATTTTATTGGATGTTGTGGGTGAGTTTTAGGGATGGAAATGGATAAAAATATTATTTTATTGGTTTCCTTGTACTGATTTTCTTTTCTTGATTTTTAGGAAACCAACCAAACGGCCCCTAAGAAGAGATGAGATGAGATGTGGAAAAATAAACCATTAATTATTAATTATTAGAGTTTGTCTTGTCAAGTCGCAAAAATATGCAATCAGGTTTTTTACTTCTTAGTGTAGTATTTATTTGTAATTTGTAAAATAAAGGAAAACCAAAGGCAGAATTACAATTGTAATTAAATTATGTTTCCAATTTTGCAGAAGGCATTTGCAGCTGTGGTAGTCTGCTTCCTTGCAAGTGTATGTCGCGCGCCTTTGCGGAAGCCTTGAACTCACAACGAACCTGTGATCACGAGTCGAAGAAAGCCAAACTCTTGCACAAATCCAACCAATAACGCCAAATCAATCCAAACACAGAGATATACGTGGTTCGGCAATTTGCCTACGTCCACGGGGAGAGGATGGGGAGATTTCACTAATTCAAGGAGAGTACAAAGGGTTACAATCACACAAATTCTCTCAAACTAACCCTCAACCAAAGATCTCACCTTGCTCACAATATCTCCCTCTCACAATGCTCAAAAGATTCCTCAATCTCTGATATTAAACCCTCCCATGGCAGACACCACACCAGGGTGTGGTGGAGCCTGTTTTGAGTTATTCTTCACGTTTTTCACAATTCCTTCGCCGTTTTCACAATTCTCCACCTCGGCGAAGTGTTCCCAACACTGAGCCGACACCAACATGAGCACCAATGTGTCGTCTCTCTAAACTCGGCTGCACCAATGCGGTTGCCTACGTACCCCCTCTCCCAAGGGATCAAGCCGCCCGTAGTTCATCCAAATGGCCGCCAACGGCCTCAACAATTACGAATGTGCAACAAGTTTCGACAATGATCAAACTTGTTGCTCGGAACCACCTTAGTGAGCATATCTGCCGGATTATCCTTCGTGTGGACTTTCACAATTTCCACATCGCCATCTTCAAGAACATCCCGAACGAAGTGATAACGAACGTCAATGTGCTTCGTCCTCGCATGAAAAACCTGATTCTTCGCCAAATATATAGCACTCATGCTATCGCAATGAATAGTGACGGATCGCTGCGATATACCAAGTTCTTCCAAAAGTCCTCGAAGCCAAATAGCCTCCTTCACAGCCTCCGTAACCGCCATATACTCTGCCTCCGTCGTAGACAAAGCCACCGTAGACTGTAAGGTGCATCTCCAACACACCGGCGCACGGGTCAAAGTGAACACATACCCCGTAGTAGACCGGCGCTTATCCAAATCCCCGGCATAATCCGAATCAACATAGCCAATGCATAGCTGCCCACCTGTAGTGTCCCGCTCATAAACCAAACCAACATTGAGCGTACCTCTAATGTACCTCAAAATCCATCTCACGGCGTCCCAATGACCCACTCCTGGATCGTGCATGTATCTCGACACCATGCTCACTGCCTGTGACAAATCCGGCCTCGTACATACCATCGCGTACATCAAGCTCCCAACTGCGCTCGCATATGGAGTCTTCGTCATCAACTCACGGTCTTCAACTGACTTCGGTGAAAGGCCAGCTGAAAGCTTCAAATGGGCTCCCAACGGTACACAAACTGGCTTCGTATCCATGCTAACATGGAATCGCTGTAGAACCTTCTTCAAATAAGCCACCTGTGTCAAACAAATCCTGCCCTTCTTCTTATCTCTGCCGATCTCCATCCCTAAAATGCGCTTCGCCTCGCCCAAGTCCTTCATCTCAAACTCATTCGAAAGCTGAACTTTCAACTCATCTATAGCTGACCTGGAACTAGAAGCAACCAACATGTCATCGACATAAAGCAACAAATAAATGTACGCACCTCCTCTCAACTTGCGAAAATACACGCAAGGATCAAACTGGCTCCGAGTGTACGAATGACCAAGCATAAAACCATCAAATCGCCTATACCACTGTCGAGGAGACTGCTTCAAACCGTATAGCGATTTCTTTAGCCTGCAAACCAACTTATCTTTCCCTGCAGCTCGGAATCCCAATGGCTGAGTCATATATATTTCTTCATCAAGATCACCATGAAGAAATGCTGTCTTCACATCCAACTGATCTAACTCCAATCCATACTGTGCCACCAAAGCTAGCAAAATCCGAATCGACGAATGCTTCACCACCGGAGAGAAAACCTCATTGTAATCAATACCTTCCTCCTGTGCATAGCCCTTCGCAACCAACCTAGCCTTGAACCTCACTGGAGTGCCCTCAATGCCCTCCTTCTTCGTGTACACCCACTTGCACCCAATCGCCTTCCGCCCCTTTGGAAGCTCTACAAGCTCCCATGTATCGTTCTTGTGAAGAGACTCCATCTCCTCCTGCATAGCCACCTGCCACGAATCAGCCTCCGAACTCTGCTCGGCCTCTCTGAATGTAGTAGGCACCATCTCATCGATACTCTCCACCGGAAGTGCATATGCAACTGTGTCGGCATACCGTGCTGGCACCCGTATGTCTCTCCTCTGTCTCCGTGCCGCAATAGAATCCTGAACCTGAGCCGTCGGTCCCTGATCCTGCTCATGAGTACCCGTATCCTCCGCATCACCGTCGTGCTCGCCTGGCGTCACCTCAGTCGGCACTCTCATGGATACTGCACCATCTGGACTCTGTGGAGCTGCATCAATCTCCACCACCTGCGAAATCTCCTCTGTCGGGTTGCTCTCCACCTGATGAGAGCTGGGAAGCTTCAAGATAGAAGCCTCATCGAATGTGACGTCCCTACTCAGCACAATCTTCTTATCAACTGGATCCCAAAGCTTGTATCCCTTGACACCACGCTTGAATCCTACAAATATGGCCTTCCTAGCTCGAGGTTCCAACTTATCAGTTCTAACATGATAATATGCAGGGCAACCAAATACCTTAAGCTGGTCATAGTCATGTGCTGTCTCTCCCGACCACATCTCCATAGGGGTCTTCCCCTCAATCGCAGATGAAGGCAGCCTGTTAATGAGGTGGCTCGCATAAGAAAGTGCCTCAGCCCAAAAGATCTTCTCCAAACCACTATGCGCCAATAAACATCGAATCTTCTCCAGCAAAGACCGATTCAATCTCTCTGCCACCCCATTCTGCTGCGGTGTATGACTAACTGTGAAGTGCCTCTCTATGCCCTCGTCTCGACATAGCTGCAGAAAGGGGTCTGAGGTATACTCGCCGCCGTTGTCGGATCGCAACGTCTTGATCTTTCTCCCAGTCTGCAGTTCCAATCTCTTCTTCCACTCCACAAACAAATCTAGGACTTCACTCTTATGCTTCATGGTGTACACCCAACATCGCCTAGAATAGTCATCAACGAACGTGACGAACCAATGTCGACCACCAAGTGATGCCGTCTTAGTGGGACCCCAAACATCTGTGTGCACGTAGTCCAAGATGCCCCTCGTCCTATGAATGGCCGTCCCGAACTTCACCTTCGTCTTCTTGCCAAGTACACAGTGCTCACAGAATTCTACTTTACCACTCTTGGCTCCCTTCAAAAGCCCCTGCTTGCACAATGCCTGCAGTGACTTTTCACCTGTATGCCCTAGCCTGTAGTGCCAAAGTCTGCTCATGTCCGCCTCTGAAATCGCCGAAGCAACCTGGCCAATCTCGGTGCTCCCCTTCAGATAGTATAAATTATGATTTCGGACTCCCTTCATCACCACCAAAGATCCCTTAGTAACCTTTGCTACAGCATCCTCAAAGGTCACCCTGAATCCCTTCGCCTCCAAAGCCCCCACTGAGATAAGATTCTTCTTAAGTTGAGGAACGAATCTCACCTCCTTCAGCTCACAGACTACTCCATCGTGCATCCGAATCCTCACAGTACCTATCCCACGTACGCCACAGGATTGATCATTTCCCATGACCACAACACCCCCATCGAGTCTCTCAAATGATGAGAACCAATCTCGCCTAGGAGTCACATGATAAGTAGCGCCAGAATCAAGCATCCACTCCGATGCATCCAAATGGTTCACCTCCGGAGTAATCAAAAGAGAAAAGCTCGAATCATCGGAATCATCGCCTTTCACAACATT